TCCTCAATTGACTCAATTTATTACTCATCTATTTTATTAAAAAAAAACATATTGCAGATGAAGTGAAAAAGTGGTCTTAGTTACTTTAAACAGTTAAATTGCACAGTCCAAACTAGGATAAATACTCCTGACAGACAGTCCTATAGCCTATAAACATTCCCAGTCTGATCTATGAGTGTAAGTAGGAGTGTTTCTCAGGGACTTGAAAACTTTCTTGGAAAATCAGGTGATGGCAGATTATCAATCTCTCCATTTTTTAAACACTTTTACTCAATATAGGGCTGCAGAGGACACAGAACATATCCCAGCAAGCAACAAGCACAAGGACATCCATTGCAGAACAGACAGACAAACATACACTCACACCAGGCGCAGTTTTCCCTGAAGCCAATTAACCTACCAGTATATCTTCTGACTGTGGGAGGAAACTAAGGCACCTGGCAGAAACTGAAACAAACATGGGAAGAACATACAGACCTCAATAGAGATAACCCACCAGGAATTGAACCCAGGGCCCGAGCTCTGCAAGACAGCAATGCTAACCACTGTGCCACTGTGCTGCCCTTTTAGAAGAACTACGTTTTGATTTGGAACTTGTGGATCTGACTGATGTGATAATCAGATGTAGGTTGTTTATTTGCCTTTTGCGATATTGTTTATCTTGAGTATTGCCACTTTCTGTCAGATGATCAGTCTCCTGTAAGATCATTTACAATTTGAAACGATAGTAAAGACAATGTGAAAAACAAGCCATCAGGGAACACCCTTAAATGTACAGAACACTTGAGGGTTAAACTAGAAGGATATTTAACTCAACGTGTTATATGTAACTGATCCCTGGTGCTTGATTGCCAACCTCATGCCACAGGAAAGCCCTGTGCCAGTGAAGTGCACCTCCGTTCCCCAAAACAGAACAGATAGTGACCACTGTGGCCTTCACACGCATGATCATGCAGCTCATTAACATCTCAGGTGATGACAAGACGGTCATTACTGGGAGACTCAAGCTGGAGCAGAGGGTTCAGAGTGAGCAGAGAGGTGTTGCTCCATTAGACCCAGAAAATAATTTAACCCCCTGAGTCTCCAGTCTCTGCACAAAAAAAAATATCAGTGAATCTACCAAAGAAGGATCTGCATCAGGCATCTCCAGCTCTATTCCTAGAAGACCTGAAGTCTTCAGCTTTTTTGATACAACCTGGACAGTCAATTCAGCCAATTATATTCCGAGTTACACATGGAATTCTTCTTACTGTTTGTGTAACACCGCTGCACTATCCTGACAGAGCACAGTGGTCTCAGGATGGGGGGTGAATCAACATGAAGGCAGACACACTAGCAGGCTGTTGAGTGTAGGCAGGAAAATTAACAAACAGCAGACAGTGAAGTCCATAGCTGGAGTCCTAACAGGATATGAAACCTGAGACACAAGGCTTGAGGCACAAAGGGAAATCTGGAACCATAGTCAGGCAAAGCAAGCAAGTGTCATGAACAGTTCTTTCCGGGACCTATACAGATGACATGATCCAGAATTGTGAGGAAACGCTGGGTGGAAAAAGTCATGCAGGAGAGGTTATGGAGACAGGGGGCATGTCCAGGGGGTGCAGGTGTCCAGGGGGGAGTGAACAATCCATGAAGAAATCCAAGACAGAAGAGTAAGTCCAATGCCAGAAGATCCATCCAAGGGAATTAAAACCATGAACCGGGTCAGGACCGGCAGTGAAGAGGGGGGGGATCAGGAACAGGAGGTTAAAACCATGACAGAGCCAAATGCAGCAGGACCCAGGATCTCACAAAATGGGATTTAATGAGGAGCATAAGGTGAAATCTGCATCTGGCTTTTAAGGAGGAACTGAAATAGGGAACAGGTGTGGGTGATGGGAGAGAACAAGGAAGGGCTTAAGGGGAGGAGTAGCGACCGTGATGGCAAGTTCATAGTGCAGGAGAGAATGCAAGCAAGAGCGATTCAAAATACTGGAAAACACAAGTGAAGCACAAAAAGATCCAGGACATGGTGAAGAATATAATCAGTGAAAGGCAGGGAAGTCAAGAAGCAGAAACTGATAAACAAAGCACTAAGAGTGAGCTGGGTGGCAATCTCAAGGCTGGTTTTTATAACCTGCTGGAACAAAGTTAGTGAATGATTCCATTACACACAGGTGAAATTGATCTTCAGCTTGATAGTGTTTTCACGGCAACAGGTTGATTGGCTGGTTGATTACAAACTCTATCAGTTGCTGTGGTGTTTCAGGTGTGTAATTTTGTGCTCCTACAGGAAAGAGTTTGACAGTTTCCTACTGCTGATAACACAGAACATTCATGTGACTTAAGGCACAGTTATCTATAAAACCTCTGATGTTGGGGAGAAGTATTACAGTTCTGTTTTTATTTACATAATTAGAGCACCTGTGGAGCTGAGTTCTGAGATGAAACACAAACCAGGAGATACCAGGTCCAGAGGCAGCACAGCACCATGAACAGAGCTGTCTGAGGCTTGCTGTAATACTTGTTTTCATCAGTAATCACTTCTGTAAAACATTAAAGAATTCCAACCATCTAATTTTATTTTACAATTACTCCTTTATATTTTGGTTATTTTTTCTTATTTAAGCTAAGCAGTGTGATGGGTAGCAGAGAATGATCTTTTTCTGGCAGGATTCCACACTTCTTTATAGAAAATGGTGACAGGAGTATGGAATAAGCTACCCAGCCATGAGCTTGTAGCTGATAGCCTGGATTCTTGCCGAATGGCCTCTTGTTTGTACAGTAGCTGTTTCTATGTTCGTATGGAATCTGGAACACCAAGCGCAGCAGCAGGGACCCGACTCTCAGAGAGCCATCTGTGAGCCTGCAGTGAGCTCACTGTGAGGGTGTTCTTTATAATTCCTAACGTGCACTCACAGGTTGTTTTACACACCGTTAGCGTCTGCCGGTCTTGAACACTCAGCTATAAATAATTCACAATTAAATCAGAACAACATGCATTTGTGGGGTGCTTTATTTATAATAAAGATCAGGACGAATAATTTCATGATTCAAAAATTCTTTATTACTATTATTTTTCTCTCACTAACAGCACGTACAACAGGACTAAACAACACGCACACATGGACAGCGGATGATGGAGAAGCTAAGCGCGTCTAAAACGTTGCTAACAAATATGTCTGAGTACTGAGGGGCGCAATAAGGTTACAGTCACAAAGATAAAGCTAAAACAGAACACAGCCATCAGCAATGCAGCGCTGCCCTCTGTGTGGGCTACTCTGGGCAGTCGGATTTGTTCAGGGTCTTCTGGACAGTAGCCTGGGACCCCTGGCTGGCCTCGCAGGTCACGGAGTGCAGCGATTTCCAGTCGGCCTCGGACAGCGTCAGGGTGCTGCTCCAGCTGTAGGTGCCGTCGCTCTCCAGGATGCCGGGGGTCTTGGTGACGCTGCTGCTCTTGGAGCTGCCGTCGATCTTCCACTGCAGGCTCCAGTCGGACGGGAAGCCCTTGTTGGCCAGACACAGCAGCGTGGCGCTTCTCTTGGCGCTCAGCTCCACAGTTGAGGGCGGCAGGAGGGACAGAGACGGCAGAGCGTTACCTGGAGACGGAAACCGGTTGGAATGAGATCAGAGAGATCGGAGAGACTCACAGTCGCCTGGGAGAGACTCGCACAGACCCACAGGGAAAAAAAAGCCCAAACTGTCACAAAATAGACACTGTTTCACTATTGACAGATAGCTGAAAAAGGAAAAGGAAGTTTTAAGTTCTACACGTTGTTTCAGGGCTTGAATAAGTGTTTCCGGACATTCAGGACTAAAGTCCTTCATGTAGTTGGAATTGTATCTAAAATTCATTAAATACACTGCACTTTGATAATGTCTGAAAGTATATTTACCTAAATGTGTTTTAACCATATCTTGCTTATTGAGGACTACAAACTAAAGCTGTATCCCTGCTGCCTCCTGTACTAAAAGCCCAAC